AGCTGCGAGGAGGGCAGGTTGTGCTGCCCAGGGAACCGTGGAGGAGCTGAGTCCGTAGGTACCAACTGTCCTGAAGGGGCAACTGTGTTATCACCCCAAGCAAGCCTCTGTAACATCAAAACTTTGGTTAGGCCCTAGTTTTCCTCTCAGTTCCTGCTTTCAAACAATTCTTCCACAGCCCCTTATAGCTCATGCCTTCTTTTTCAACTCTGTACACAAATGCAGTTGCAGATTAAGGGACATTTTTAACCTAAGCGTGAGATAAAGTGATTTCACAGATCAATCTCTTTTTTACTCTACTGACTCTGTGGAATAATTAATACAGACTATTCTTATTTAAACTTGCAATGTGTCAAAATACTTTTCAATATAGATTCTATTGAAATAGGAAGGGCAGAATATTATCATAAAATACTTTTTTCAGCATGTTGCTTTATTGCAAGAATTCTTCCTTACCACTGTTTTTTTTACATTCCATTTTATTGTCAGGTATCATCTAACATAGTAAGTTTCATAACAGATACTAACCTGCAGTATATACAATTTCAGGCACTTAAAATACTAAATTTGGTCAATAGTGGATGATGTGTGTATAAATCCTGGAACACACTGTCAGATCCAATCAATCACCTCACAAATTTAGGAATCAGAAGACAGCATTTTAATATATCTTGGTCAACTCCACCTTGGGGTTTATTTGTCTAGCAAAGTACAAAATCAGAAACGAAAAGCAAATTGGAGGAACAGAATTTCAGACAGAGTGGAGGGTAGTTGCTAAGAACTGCATGGCGATGTAGAATTCAATATGCTTGGAGTAGGTAGAAGAATTGTGATCCTATCTTATTACTATCAAAGTAAGAACAAACATGTATTGATCAAAACATGCTCTACAAGCTTTACCTGCTATTGATGATTGATCTAAGAGTGTTTTGCAGAGTTCATTTGCAAACTTTTGCATGTCAGCATTTCTGTACAATTAAGCGACCAACAGGAAACTGAAACAAAAGAGAA